AACTGAAAACCAATTTCAGAGTACGCAGAAATCTTGTCAAATAAAATGTACGAATTCGACTTCTAGAAACCGGTAGAAGCGCTAAGGTGTTAAATCCTCATCGCTATGTACAGAAGTTTGTTCAATCACTGAACCTAAAATCAATCTAATTAGTCTCAAAATTTGATACACAATTTGTATTAACCCTTAATTTGAGCTCTACTTAGAAGGATCTGGATTTCACCGAAGATATTTGTCTGATTTCCCACAAACTGGAAGATATGCAAGTGAAAAACAACAAGTTGGCAGGAGAAGCATCCGGTGAAGATAGGAATTCTCTCAGGTGAACATAGAGAAAACAGAGGTGATTATGGAGATTCCTGCCCGCCAACGGCTACAGCAACAAAAACAACAGACGACAATCAGCCAGCATGAATGAAAGGAGTCTGAAATAAGCAACCTCCTTTACCGCAAACCGACCTGGGAAACATCGTTTCAATTATAGGCGGGCGAGGCTGTTGAAGATATCAAAGCCAGGAACATAGGGAAAGCAAGGCAAGCTTTCTTTACTCTCAAGTCTGTGTAAAGGTCAACAGCACTCAGATTGGAAAACAGGATCCGGATTTTCAAATCCAATGTGAAGTCAGTCAGTGCTACTATACGGATCAAAGAATTGGCGCATCATGAAGGGCACCTCAAACAAACTACACACCTTCATCAACAGCTGTCTTTGCTGAATACTAGTCAAGATCAGATGGCTGGTCAGAAAAGATCAGCAATAGTGAGGGATCTCTGGCAATGGGCGAACCAATCCAGCAGGGACCAATCGTGCAACGAACATGCAGGAAGACATGTAGGTGGACTGGCTTGGCCATACTCTGAGAAAACATTCCATCAAGTGAGTGACATCATACACCAGACCATCGCTCGAGTGGAACCCCAATGAGCAGCTGCGAGTTGGTCGTCAGTACAAGAGTGACATGGAGGAGGTCATGCGAAGAGGAGATGAAAGCATGAGGGCAGACGTGGAGCTAGGTAATGAAAACTTTGGCACGCAGTGGAGACGTGCGGTTGAAGCCCTATGTTCCTCTAGGAACTAAGGGAGACAATCATAATAATAATATTAGGTCAAGCAATTATCTTTTGTATTTATTTTAGTTTCTAATCACAGTTAGTTCTTTCTCTATCAGGTAATAACTATCCAAAACCTACAATTTTAATGACACATCTTGCAAAACATTCCTTTCGTTGCTATGAAAATGTGCTACATATACTGACGGACTGACTGACTGACTAACTGGTTTCAACAAGGAACTTCGAACAGAAGAGCAGCCGTTCAAGTTGCCATATTTCATGGACCACATAAGGGAAGACAAATGAGAAAGAGGGATTCACAAGAACAGAAATAAGCAGAACGGTGAGGGAGAGAGCACACTATCGTGGAAAAACTACAGGGCTTCGATGTACACAGCAGATTATAAAGTGTGAATGCATCTGTGTCACTGAGAACGATGAGTTTGAGCCATATCACCAATTGCCTCGACAGCCATCATTGGTTCTTAACATCCCGACTGCCTCAACCAGTCAAGCAGTCTGCACCTCCCTACGTGACTGACTGGCTGGCTGGTTGGCTGTCCCACTGACTGTCACACATTTCATGGACGCATTTTAAATTTTCGTTTGACGATCACTAACTCTTCTCCATTCTGGTCTAACATTTTCCATCGAGAAAGGTGATGGCTTGGTATGCATAACACATATTTTAACCATCTCAGTGCGTCGGTGGCACAGTGGTTAGGACTCTCTCCGACTATGGATATGGTGCGGGGTTCGATCCCGTGCCGATGCACACCCGATATCTATGGTCGGCCTGCAAAATTTGAGCTACCGATACCACATGCTGAAAATTCCATGCTTGTATCGAAAGTATGGTGTGGCATCAAGCTGTAATCAAATCATTTTACCAGTTTTGTTCCTGTCTGTCTGGATTCAACATAGAACTTGGCACCGAAGTGCAGCAGTTCGAGTTGCCACGTTCCAATTGGCACACAAGGTAGACAAGAAGATGAGTGAAGAGAATCAATAGAGTTTGACAAATATAAGAGTGAAACAGAATGGGTAATTGTAGAAGGAATATGAAAGATTACAGAGACTGAATACATCTGCGCCATTGACAACGATTTTGAGCCATGTCACCTACTGTCTCCAGCCATTGATTCCTAGAGTCAGGAGGGCCCCAACCCGGAAGTCTGCATCTCCCTACCTGACTCAGTTTAACTGTCAAGTATTTCATGGATTGATGAGGCCATGTTTTTGTTTGGCCACCACTGGCTCTTTTCCAACCTGAACCTATATCAGCTAGTAATGCCCGCCTGTCGGGGGAGGCGGTGGTTGGGCATGCGCAGCACGTGACCTAGCCATCTTAGTCTATGTAACTTTATAGCCTCGTCGATTGATTTTCCCTCTTTGCCCAACACTCTACGCCTAACGTCAACATTACTTATCTTGTGAAACCACCGAACGTGAGACAGAGATCGCAGACATCTATGATCGAAAGCAGTCAACCTTTTCATGTCTTCAACGCGTATTGGCCATGTTTCAGAGGCCATAGAGAAGGACGGAGCGAACTGATGAGCAGTACACACGTCCCTTGGTTGATAACCGGATGTCACGCCTACGCCAGAGATGGTGTAAGTCAGCGAAAGCAGCTCGAGCTTTTCGGATCCGTGCTGAGATTTCATCGCCAATCAGTTTTGTTCCTATCCAGTATAAACGTTCCCTAGTGAAATGTTTGATCTCAAGGACCCGAAAAATATGCACGAGTGACACATTGATGGATGAGTTTCGACATATGCATTCAGTTTTATTAGCTAATGGTTATCCGGAGAATTTTATCACTTGTCACAGCAAAGAAAAACCACATCTCGAAAAGACAGCTTCTGTACCAAAGAAAGCCATCTTTATTAACCTACCATTCAAGGGCGACCAGATTATGCAGTTGACAGCTCAAAGACTTCGGTCAGCCATCAAACGCACATTCTATGCCGCATCTCTTTTTTACCTCACATGCCGAACATTTTCAATCACTGTACCTACGATTAAAGCACGAAATTCTGTGGACTCTACTTCAAACTGTATCTACAAGTTCACCTGCAGCTGCGGTGACACCTATATAGGTAGAACCAACAGAATGTTCCAATGTCGTCGAAAAGAATATGTTCCAAAATGGCTATTAAATCATATCGAAAATCCCAACGCGATTAATCTGAATAGAAATCCAGCTTCATCATCCATTGCAAAACACTTATTAATGTCTGGTCACAAAATCAATATTAATGACTATTTCACAATTATTTCACATAACTCTAATTCAAGGTTGGTGATTGAAGATGATGGAAGCACTTTGGATTAATCACATACAGCCTAAAATGTGTGTACAAAAAAAGATAGACTTCAATCTTCGCCTACCATGGACTACATGACCTATCTAAATATGATTGGTCATTAATATGTACTTTGGTTTTTTATTTAACTGAGTAATTGTCATGCCCTTTATTCTATTTTATTATTGTTAACCATGTTGCTAGTTGTAAAGCGGTTGCAAAGAAACTACGAAATGACGATATCATCTCGCGAAATTTGTCTTCTTAATGCCTTATTCAAAAAAATATATAGTTTCACAACTCAATTAATTGTTGAAAACATTTATTTCCCGACACGACCAGTCGCCAATCCTCGATACTTCAAACTGCCGGGTATATCAATTTGAGTGTGTTTGTAGCAGCAAATACATAGGTCGTACGGAAAGGCGATTGTCTACTCACATGATGGAGCATCTGCCGAAATAGTTGAAAACAGCTGAGTGCAAAGTGCCAAAATCCTCAATAACAAAACATCTTGTGGATTACGCACATGATATCGACGTGGTCAAGTCATTCACCATTGTCAGCAAGCAAAGAAACAAGAAGATGCTTGCAATTGCAGAGGCCTGTGCAATTCGATTTTACAAACCAGCTCTCTGTATACAAAAGGAGATGGTCGTCACTCTGAATCTACCATGGTAATACGTTTTACTTATTATTCTCTACTTGTTATTACTATTATTCTACCTCTTATTATTATTATTGTCATTATTATTATTATTAGTCTTGATTCATTTAAAACTATGCTTTATCAGTAAGATTATCTTAACTCACTTCAACACTATTATTATTATTATTATTACTATTGATATTAGTCTGTTTGCAATTCTCGTTATATTCTCCAATGACTAATTGTTTATCTAAATGATGTAATTGAAGCGTAATGAATTTATCTTAATTTTGATCTCTCATACTCTCTCTCGCCTTATCTATGTGAACATGACCTGGAAAACATTCGCACGTGTCTTTCTGTACGACTAATTCAATGTAGTTTATTTGCTTACTTGTCAGTCTTATATCTCCCAATGTAATTTCAAAAGTATATATACATCCGTGTATGCAGAGTATTCAGCTGACGAGTTCTACCGAAATTTGATGAATCCATCATTAAATCCTGCTTTATTAACAACCTTTATTGCTTGTTTCAATTAATTGTCTTTCCCCCCGCCCTTACCTAACCACTCCACCGACACCTAACCTCACAATTACTCATTTTATTATACCACCCGACACGCAAGATAGAACTCAGACACAAATGATTAAAGACAGCAGCTAGTGAGCCTTTTCATATCTTTCATTTTCTCACTCACAGCCATAAAGAAGGAGACAGAGAACTGGTGCGCCGTGCACACGTCTTTTGATCGACAATCCAGACGGATAGCATGTCAATGCGAGAGAGATGATGTAGGGATGATACAAATGTCACACAACAGCCTTTTGTATATCCACATGCTGAGATTTCTTTTCATCAGCAACCCAAGGGAAGGGGATAGGTCGAACAGATAGTCCCGTCAAGAATATTCAACACGGGATGTTTACATTAATGAAAAAGTATATAAACAATATACCGTCTACATGCAAACATGCGTACATACATACCTGTTGTGAGACAACTGCAATATGCTGATGACGTAATTCACACCATAATTCATCAGTTTCATCTAAGATGATCTCTTTGACACGTTCCTCAGGACCTGATGTATTGATATAACTGTATGGATCAAAAAGAAAAAAATATTTTTCCAAAAAAATCATTCTTTATTCCTGATTACGTAATTTGTTTTTACAAAATATCTCTTTATAGGGCTATATACTTCTTCTATTGTATTCTAAGTATTGTTACACCAATAGATGATTTTCAGTCCATATGCAACCAGGAACTAGACTAATGGAAAATTAATCCATATCGTCAGTAGTACAGCGGTAGTAGAAGAGTGATTTTGATGTGGTTGTGTTCTCTGAGCTTTCTGGCTGGTTAATTTGCGAAGCTTTCATCGCCCCACCACTAGGCAACATCTTCAGCGCCCATACTTCAATTTGAATTGAAGTGAGCTGTTAGATTTCTCCACGAGTTTATGAATAATCTCTCCTGATGGGTGACCTGGAACGTTGTGATTGGTTGTTTTTGTGTACTTTCACATCATCTAGGTTATTTGTATTGGTATTGGCGTTGATTGTTTCTTTGGCTTGAACTTTCACTCTTTGTATGTGAGGTTTCTTTCTTATCGGTTGATAAACATTGTCTATCTCGATGTGTCTATTGATTGACGATTCACTAGAATACCAGGCAGCCTTCTAAAAACTCTCTAGCATTCCTGGTGTTTCTTCTGTCGAATATTTGAACTCTGGTTATCCCAGTCGAATTGATGTCCATGGTTGTCTGTATGTAGGGATATGAGCGAGAGAGTGGATGTCATGTCTTTTGACGGATAGTTTATGATCATGGATACGAAGATGAAGGGGACGTCCACATTAGCCAACGTAGTGTTTTTAATTTTTTTTAATTTTTGATTACAGCTTGATTCCACGCTGTATTTTTGGTACAAGTATGGAATTTTCAGCATGGATATCGGTAGCCCAAATTTTGCAGGCCGACCATAGATATCAGGTGTGCGTCGGCGAGGAGTCGAACCCCGGACCATGTACATGGTCGGCGAGAGTCCTAACCACTGTGCCACCGACGCTGCAAGTTATTTTGTAGACGATAATGGTTTTATCTTCTCCTCCTGTTGAGTCTTTTGGTTGACATAGAGCCAGCCAGCTGAATGAAGTGATTTTGTTGGTTTGTCTGCAACGTCAATTCCTAAAGGTTTGAATAGTCTTGCAGTGATTTCTAAGATGTCGTTTATATATGGTAGGGCGATTTTCTTTGTGCTTTCCTTGGGTGCTTTTGGTTTGATAAGTTGGCTTGGGGGTAGACGTCTTTTGATGAAATTCCATGGATATCCATTCTTTTGGAAGACGTCGATGAGATATCTTTCTTCAAATCTCGCTTCGCAAATTAACTTCTAGCTCAGAGACACAATCACTCAAAATCACACCTGAGCTACAAGTCTTGTCTATCATATCTAAATTTTAGAGCGATAGTAGAGTGCTGCCGATCAGCCTCATGTAGTGAGGCAATCTCCGGCTGCCAACGCACTGCTTTACCTCGCTAAGCCAGTAATAAAACTGATAAAGAGGGAAGGTTGGGCCAGCATGAGGCTAACAACTTTATCCTGCAAAATAATAAACCCCACTGTTACAGAAACTTCCAGCCGGGGACTTGAATTGAAGCCCTATGTTCCACTGAGAACGTGAAGGAGAAAACATCAGATGGCAAAATGTAAGAGTAAGAATCTTTAACACAGTAAAACACGACTAATGCCAAAAACACCCTAGAAACCTGATACATAAATCGATTCGCAGATTTATAGATATCTGGAGAATGAATTAAAAATAAATCATGTGACCAAAAGGTTGAATTTCAGATCGAAGAAACATTATCAGTGCCAGCCAATCCAAGCGAATGAGATGAGAAAATAATTTGACAACAACCAATCATAATCAAGGTCACCAGGAATGATGGTGATTCCTGTTTCAAGTTTGATCAGTTAGAGAATCATTGAAAACCATCATTGGCTAATGAACAACTTTTTCATCCTAGTGCTTGGAACTGACTCCTCTCATAAGTACGTACGTATCCACTGAGGTTCGACCTCAGGACCTTACGGTTACAAGCCCAGCTCGTCAGTCGTTCATCCACCAACTAGGACCCCCATCCAATGGCCAACTCATGAATTCAAACTTCTACAAATTTGTGATTTTAGCGTGACCACCAGCCAAAATCATCATTGATGAGTATTTTGTTCACAAACCCGTGATTTTGCAGACCCCGTTGATGATGACTCCTCGCTAGAATCCCAGTAAACTTTGTCCTGTAATCAGTCGTCAGTAGACAGTATCATTTATTTATAGAAAATATCTAAAGCTCCCTTCATTTTGAAGGGAGAGAGACATGGCTCATTCATCGGCTTACGGATTTCATCGGGCTATTAGCCAATGAGTCCCCTTCCCAGCCAGGTACAAATCAGGTTTCACCTACTTCAACCTGGTGGGGGGAATGAACAGTATCATTAGTATTCGTCTGTCTGTCTGTCTGTCTCTCCATTTCCAACATGGAACTTTGCACCAATGTGCACCAATTCCAGTCGCCACACTTCTTCCATGTAACACACAAAGAAAGAGAAGAAATGCATAATAGATACAGTAAACAGAGGTGTAAGACAAAGGAATAGTAATAACGAAGATTAAAACAGTTTCAGGAGTGGATGCAACAACTGCACCAGGCATTGAGAACGATTTTGAGCCATATCACCAATTATTTCCAACCATTGGTTTTTACCGTCCCCAACCAGGAAGTCTACACCTTCCTACATGGCTTAAACTGATTGTTGTAGATTTCATTGACTGATGCCATGTTGTCCAGCTGGCCAGTACACACTCACGACTGGGCCCAACTGATTTCAGTTCTCTACCAAATTTGAAATCAATCACAAATGCCTGTACCCTAACCTTTTGAAAATAAACATCAAGGTTTTGGTATTTGTAATTAAGACTAACAACTTATGACAGGCAAACTGTAACTATATTCAATCAGATAACATTTTAGTCCCAAAATTATTCCACGTAAAAATTCATGTTTGATGATATAAGATAGTTGGAGGCGATCGGCCACAGGAAGCCTTGCGCTTCACCTCGGTTTCGTGCTAGTTGCCACTCACCAGTCAGTCAGCAAGGCGTATCTGCAATCAAATTGAAGGAACTCATATCCCTTCTAATATCTAATATCATCAAATCAATGTGCACCGTGATGGCGAGCCACCTAGTGGTATGGTGGTCCATATTGCAAAACCTGACTGACGATAGAATTCAGTCTGCACCAAAGAAAGGATTAGACACGTCACACTAGTATTTCTTTCCTTCACGTTCCCAGTGGAACATAGGACTTCAAGCTAGTGGCTTGAAGTTTCTGTAGCAGTGTTTATTTTACAGGATGGGGTTGCTAGCCTCATGCCCAAACTTTCCTCTTTACCAGCTTTATTTCTGGCTTAGGGAGGTAAAGGAGTGAGTCTGTGGCCGGAGATCGAACCCCGGACCATGTGCATGGCCGGCGAGCGTCCTAACGCTATCCCACCAATGCACCCGTCACACTAGTTACTACTGTCCAATAAAAATAAAAATACACGTAACACACCAAAACATGTCAGCTGTTGAAATTATCCTGATTTTTCCCTTGATAGGTTTTATTATTTGTTCCTTGAGTTCTAAGCAGATAATAGAGCTTAGACAGCACATCACTATGCCTCTTTATTTTCATCAGAGTTGTTCCAATGTAATTAACGCTAACTGACTTCAGCAACTCAGGGATTGACTTGTTACCACCACGGAATAGTAGTCTCGTTGACTTAGAAAACGCTGACGAAATACACCAGAGTCGTCTGAACACACACCTTGAGCTCAGCATCAATCTTCGAATGTTTGGCATGTGATTTGCTCCCTTTGTCAAATGTAAGATGATACAACAGAATTGGACTGGACTACACCGATTCCTTGCTTAACAGACAGGGAGTGATGTAGTGGATGAGTGTGTTGACCACTTTACTTATTTGGAAAACGCCATCAGCCCCAATAGGAGGACTGTTGACGAAATCTCAGGACGGATACAAAAGGCTCGTCTGTTACGCAGGCATGTCTAACCAACACCTTTTCCGACGGCCAATGTTAGCTGACATAGGATCAAGCTGAAAAACAGCTAGTGGTGGTCAAACCAAGGCGTGGAATATCAGTTTATGATATCTTTCACAGTTGGTTTGAGCTATTTAAGGAGAAGTAGGCTTCCTTATCTGGGGTCCTCGAGATTCTGTGAACCAATGAAAGCTGGAGACAATTTGGTGAATGGGGCACAGATGCATTCATTCAACACTAATATCTCTACCCCCCTCCATGTTACTATACTTTCTCCCTCAGACTTCTGCTTATTATCGTGCTTTTTTGAATATCCTCTCTCTCTCTCCATTGTGTGCTACATCAAGTGTGGCGATTTGAACTGGTGCACTTCTGTAAAAAGTTCCATTATATTGGAACCAGTCGTCAGTTAGACCTCCACTCTATTCTCTATCAACACTTTCGACTGGCTCCACAACTGCCTGTAAATGTTCGTTTCCCACATGGTCTCCTTCAATATCCCCCCTCAGAAACCAAACGACCAACTCGTTGTTTCCCATTCGGGTCGGTGCTCACTCAAAAAATCTCATGTGTAATAACTTAATTGAGAATGCCCCCTTCAGGGTATATTTTTAATCCATCGCTAATCCCTAATTCTATTTCTGTTTCAGGTACCCCATGAAAAAATTAAAAACTTCACGGTGTGGGCAGTCGGGAAATAACAACCGCCCACGCACTTCCAAAGGCGCACGACGCTCTCCTGATCATTGCCAACTTTTATCTATACCATATAATCTTGCTTTCGTCCAACTATTAATGCTATTCTCTGTAGGCATGCTCCAAATTCTCTCTTCATTCGGTAATCAATAATATAGATGAGAACCAGAAAAACACTACTGATAGTCATGAAGAGCTACAATGCCAACTTCATATTGGCACATTTAACGTCAGGTTCCGTTTGCCTAGTCGGAGAACAGGTGTCCTTAATCAGAACTCTGGAGACACGCATACAGGACCCATGTGTGGTTACCCTAACTGGCCAACATCATGAATCTGCAAAATTCACTTTATGGGTGCCAGGAGATTCTGCAGCTAGTTCGCGGGAACTTGCAAGTAAGGGGGGGGGATATTGAGTGCTAGGGTAGAAAAATCCCTTCTTGACTGGATCCCATTGGATAGTCATGTGTGCTCTCCACTTAAACGGATCGATTATGTCCCAAATCAACTGGAGTTCGGACGAGATGAAGGATAAGTTATATCAAAAAAAACTGTTTAGTTTGCCGCGAAAAGAAAAACGCTCAGATATAATCGTTTCAGCAGGCAATTTCAATGGCCAAGTAGAGGAGTTGTGTTAGCCTACGAAGTATGTTGGTGGCACCCAAGGAGTCCTTTGTTAGAGAACCGACAACGGTGGTCGCCTTCTACAGTTCTTCTCAGATAATCATCCATTCCTGGGGGTCAGTACCAACTTCAAACATAAGGAGAGGCATTGTCTAACCTACAGACACCTCTATCATAAAATCACCAATGGACTCAAATAGACCACAAAGCAATTAGTTGTCGTTGGCGACGGTAGATAGATGAATGATGTAGTTGTAGCAATAGTAGTGAAATGTAAGTCTGCTAAAGAGGTAACACAAAACAAACAAAATAATTTAAGAAGTAAGTCAACTTACCGGTAAACATCATTTTCAATTGCCAATAAATCATATGCCATGGCTTGAAATGTAAGCTCATGAAGAATAGGCGAGATAGGATCAAATCCACGATCAAGTAGAATTAATTGACTTCGATCTTTTTGGGGACCCTAATATGCGTAGATAAAAAAACATAAAAACATCTTTTTTTTCCTCTGTATGTGTAAAATTTGGGCACTGTGGTGTATGTGTATGTTATTCCATATCAATTTGTTTACTAGATAGACATAACACACACTTAATGAAACAGTATTATTATTTACTGAATGACATTCCAAACACTCAGGAGCTTAAAAGTCACTCAAAATCTAGGCTAACAAATTCTTATGAACTAAAACATAGATTATATAATTTAAAATTAGATAATAGAGAAAAAATGATTAGTTTTGACATTGTCAGTTTATATACACGTATACCAATAAATATGGCTATAGAGGCAGTCAGAAACGAACTCATTTCTGACCAAGAACTCGAACTTAGAACGAAAGTGACACTTAAGGACATAATGTCCTGAAAGTGCAGCTATGCCTGACTTATTCCAGGGGAAAATATACAAACAAACTAAGGGAGTTGCCATGGGGTCACCAATATGCCCGATTGTAGCAGATATATTCATAGATAGGTGGGAGAAGTTAACAATTGAAACGTTCAGCCCCACCCCAAAAGTATGGTGGAGGTATGTATATGACACATTTACTGTACTTAGAACACACGACATAAATAGATTTTTCGAACTAATCAACTCGATGGTGGAGGCAATTCAATTCACTTATGATGAATTGGAAAGTCAGGAAGGGGGAGCTTCCAGTGTTTGACTGTAGAGTAAAAAGGAAAGAAGATGGGAAGTTAAACACACCGGTGTGTGTTCACAGGAAACCCACACACTCAAACAGATATTTGGATTTCCGATCATCCCATCTTATGTCAGTGAAAATGGGATTGGTGAAATGTTTAAGTGACAATAGGGCACAAAAACTAAGTAGCATCAAGGAAAATCTACGACAGGAAGTGAGGCATATAAAAGGAGAAGCTCTGAAACTTATTAATTACTCTAATAAATTAATCAGGAATTATGCAGGAAATGTAAAAATAAAAGCTTTATTTATCGAATCAACTACAAACACGTGTAGTAGAATGATTCAACACCTGTCCACCCGGATATCTGGAAAATTCCACTACCACGCCCACGACGACAAATAGGAGAGAACAAAGAAAACTACAAAACTCAAGTTTCGAAGTTGTGTGATTATAATTGATGATATGATTATGAACAGTAATAAATTTTGTTCGAAACTTTGTCATCCAGTAAATAATAATAATACTGTTTCACTGACTATGTGATATATCCATCTAATAAACAAACTAATATAGAATTAATTTTAACTATGTGCATTACCTGTCGCCTTATATTTAAATAAAATTGTATACAATATAGTAGTGAATTAACGCACTCGTCACACCACCAACCAAATAGTACACAGTATGCGCAACTACTACCACTTCAACTTACCTCACCCATTTGAGGATCATCCGCCTTGTAGGCATCCAGCTTTTGTTGAACTAACTGGGCGAATTCAGCATTCCTTTCAAACTGACTAAAATGGTAAAACATCAATAATAACTATAATAATAATAATAATAATAATAATAATAATGGTCTAAATAATCGAATGTTTGAATAAAATAAGAACGAACATATTTGCGAACAGAATAATACGAGGTTTAAGAGACCATAGGGCCTGAATTGTGTGTGATTAAGCAGAATCTTCTAGGACTCTTGATGAAATAGTTCAAAAACTGTATATAGGTATCCGCATCTTTCTAAATAATAGGATGATTAGTAGGAGGCATATTAGGTAGGTATAATAAGGTGAGTAATATTGAAGTTAAGCGTTGGTCGCGTGCTAGATAAAGAATAAAATTCTGTCGACGACGATGTGAAGACACATCATTTGAGATGGTTAGGATATGTTACTCATACCTAGCAGGGATACAGAAGACTCGGTTGGCATATGCTAGTTTACGCCGCCTCTGGATTAGTAGACGTGATATCCAGCTGGCTGGTTGTCGACCAAGGGGCATGTGTACTGCTCAGCAGTCCGCTCCGTCCTCCTCCATGCCTGTGAGCGAGACCTGGTCATTGAAAGTGGAAGACATGAAAAAGCTGGCGAACTGTCTTTAATCATAGATGCCTGCGTTCTATCCCCCGTGTGAAATGGTAGAATATGACGAGCAATATTGAGGTTCGGCGCCGAGTGCTAGGTAAGGAGGGGAAATCAATCGACGAGGCTGTGAAATTACATTGACTGAATGAGATGGTTAGAGATGTGTTACGTATGCCTAGTCATCGCCTCTCGACAATGGGCAATGTTAGCTGACATAGATAGGGTCAGGCTGGAAAAAAGGTACGTAGTGATGGTCAAACCAAAACATGGCTTCATCAGCCAATGAAATCCACAACAGTTAGTTTAAGCCAGCCAACCAGCCACGTAGGGTGGTGTAGACTCCTTGGCTGATAAGGGTCTTTGGGACGGTAAACACAAATTATGGCTGGAGACAATCGGTGATACGGCTAGCTCAAAATCCTCGTCGTCAATGGCTGGCGCTGATGCATTCACTTCTTGCGACTTGTAATACCTAATAAAACTGTATTGTTCCTCGATATTACTATTCTTTTTATCTCATGCCTCCTTATACTGTCTGTAGTTTGCGTTTCTTCTTACTTTCTCCCTTGCTTTGTGTTCTGAGTGAAGTGTGGTGACTCGAACTGTTGCACATCGGTGCACAGTTCTATGTCGAAATCAGTCAGTCAGTCTGAGTACAACTTAATCATCAAACTATCCATATTACTAAGTAACTCTTTGTTACTACCCTAGTTTCATTAACACCCAATTTTCTCGACCGTTTTTGCATTGCGTAACTCCATGCAGAACTTACTAATTCTCAAACTCCACCCGCTCCTCCGGCTCTTTAGTTAAAATAACCATAACCAATTGTATTTTGCTTTGACAAACTTCATGTACACTGTACGGCTAAAAAAAAGTAAAATAAAATGAATTCACCGCTAAAAAGAGAGACTCTTCACTGAACACTATGTGTTGCCTTTTCATGCATAGCATGGATGGAAGGGGAGTATTCATGAATGAAGAAGACGAAGAAGAAAGAAAGAAAGCAAAGACAAAAAACGTCAACAACACCTCGTTTACAAAATAATAATAATAATAATGTTATCTCTCAGGAGATAACCGCACTCACGTTCTATATCGTATCACAGGATATTCACCCAATGTTGCACAAAGTGTAGCAATTTGTTCGGCTATACGTTCAAGTTGTTGTCCAGATCCTTGTTGTCTTGCTACAGGATTAAAATAATACTGAAAACTCATAGGTGAATCCAATGAAAAAACTCGAGATTCAACGGGTAGGAAAGCCATATTGATTTCTTTTAATGTCTTTAAGAATATAGCAGAATTTGATTGACATAAACGATTGAATAGTTCATCTGGGCAAGCTGGAAAAATAAAAGAGAAACGAAAAAAAGGAAATAATTAACATACACTGTAATCAAGAGATTTTAATCGGACATGTGTATACAAAGCGAAATGGAAGCTATGGGTCTTGTAACACAACAACCCAATTAATCAACTGAGTTACATGCTTAGTTACAGGATTTCATCATGAGCTAACATTGGTTAGAGAACCATTGGAAAACAACCTGGGAGTACTTGACAGCTGTTTCGTCCTGGTTTTGGACTCTTCACAGTATGCACCCACCACAGGGGGTTCGAACCCAGAAGTTAGAATTCTTCGGCCATTGGATCGGGTCCCAGTGGCTGCTGAATGGTCTACGAGCTCGCTAGCGTTGTAACCAGAAGGTCCTGGGTTCGAACGCTGTCGGTGGGTGCGTATTGCTGAAGAGTCCCAAACTACGATAAAAAAGCTGTCCAGTACTCCCTGCAGGTTTTCCAATGGTTCTCTAACCAATATCAACTCACGATGAAGTCCTGTAACCAATCAATCAAATCCTTACAAATCAATACTTGATCATGTTTAGTTGAGTACTATTGAATTAGTTGTGTTCTCTGAGGAGCTAGTTGATTTAATTGCGAAGCTTTTGTCGTCGCCTTCTAGACAACACCTTCAACGCAGGTTTCAGTATCAATTCGTAGTCTAACATGAAACTAATACAATCCCTACAAACTAATTCTTAAAAAATAAAATAAACTCATTTAAATGCTCCATGAGTGATGTAATTGTCTCTCCTGGTAACCACTGTCGTGACTAGTTGTTAATTCATATCTCTTGCAAATATCTACATTATCTCAATCAACGGCAACAACACGACAATAGCCGTAATATCTATTATACAAAATACATGGTATATTATATTTACGAAACCTCAGGAATGTAATCCATCCATATATAAACAAATCAAAATATTCTAATGAGGCTATCATGTCAGTACATGCATAAATCATGAATTTACGGCTAGCACAGAAGCCTTTCGTCGCTCCAAGAGAATCAATGGTTGGAAACTTTTGGTGATACAATTCAGTATGGTTCACGGTTGTACATATGTATCTACAGCCATTCATGAGGTTTTCGATTACCACTACTTCGTTAACAAATTACCCTCTATCCCACACACACATCCTTATCTGTTATAGTCTCACGGCCTTATTTTTTGATGTGTTTATAACACTGTCCAAGAAACTAAAGGCGATTATCTACTCGCATGACGGAGCACTTGCCAAAGTGGATAAAAACAGCTAAATTCAGATTGCCAAAAAGTTCAATAACAAAGCATATTGTGGACTATGAACATGATATCGACGCTGTCAAGTCACTCACTATTGCCAGTAGACAAAGAAGCAGGGAAGATGCTTGCAGTTGCAGAGGCTTGTGCAATTCGAGTTTATAAACCAGGTCTCTGGATAAAAAAACAGATGGTCGTCACTCTGAATCTACCATGGTAATACGTTTTATTTTTTTATTCTACCTCATTATTGTTATTCTTGATTCAATTAAAACTATCCTTTATCAGTAGCATTATCTTAACTCAGTTCAACATTATTATTGTTATTATAACTATTACTACTGATATTACTGTTTGCAATTCTTGTTATATTCTCAAATGACTAATTGTTTATCTAAATGATCTAGTTGAAGCGCAATTCACTTTATCCTAACTTTGATCTCTCATACTCTCTCTCTCCTTATCTATGTGAACATGATCTGGAAAACATTCGCACCTGTCGTCTTTCTGCATGACTAATTCAGTGTTGTCTATTTACTTATCAGTCTTATATCTCCCAATGTAATTTCAAAAGTATATATACATCCGAGTATGTATAGTATTCGACTGACGAGTTCTACCAAAATTTGATGAATTCATTAAATCCTGCTTTATTAACAACCTTTATTGCTTGTTTTAAATTCGTATCATGAGGTAAACAATTCCAAAAAAATTGTGGTTAATTAGGATGAGTCGTTAAAACTATGCATCTATAGAAATTGAGATATAGTGGAACATATTACACACAGAGAACCACCATTTATCTTCATGTGGACAATTATTAATCTATAGACTGAACCAATAAAATGAATGAATTAAAACATTATTATTTTCTGCCTTGATATTTGGTGTATAGGAAAATCCAGACTGCCTGGTTAAAGACCTTAAAAGCATAAATTCTTTCCATGACAGCTTTATAAAACATATTGCAGCAATTCCTTCCTTTCACGCTTGTAGATTTCTGAATATCGAATTAGTCTTGATGCTGTAATTTTTATTTAACTTAGCATCCTGTTCATCTTCATTCTTTGCACTTGAGTAATGCATAGAGGTTAAAGCTTTTTTGAAGTTTCAGTAGCAGTGTTGTTTTTATGAGGTGGGATTGATAGCTTTACGCTAAACCTTTGCTTTTCCCAGAGTTTATTACCACCTAGGCGACGTCTGGGAGCGTGTCAGCAGGGAATCAAACCTAGATCTCAGGGCGCGGGTAGTGGGCCATCAGCCACTGAAACAATATTTTTAGTGAATAACATTCTGAAGACAGGTTACCTTCCCCGGCTACATCGTAAATCGCCATCCAGTAAGGGATATCAAACAGACAAACAATTCTTAAGCTACTAGAAGAGGAATATGAAGCACACACTAGTATCGAAAACAATTATTTAGTTAGAAGATTCAGAACTCAAAGCAAAACAACCACCAAAAATTTACGATTGTCTACAATATTGTCCAGTATTCTTTAATTTATTTGCATGAGATAGATTTCCTACACACAATGCTATTAACCCCAATTATTGTGAGAGAAATGATGATATTACTCAACTGCCCATACAAAAACGATGAAGCTGGACTCAGACCCAGGACATGTTGGCTATAAGCCGAGCAACATTTCCACAACTTTGGGTCATCGGAAGACAACCGGTTTTTCTGACGTGATATGGTCGCCATTATTTTAATACACCCAGTTGTTTATGATAAGCGTCAGAGTAATCTTTAATCTTAAAATTTTCCTTGCGCAACTCTAAATTCACACCACACTGATGAGATATTTTTGTACTTCATCAGTTAAAGTGTAAAACGAATGTTCTTTTTCATACACTCGGTGCTATATATGAAGACGAACACGTGTGGTTTTTACCCGTTGGAAAAAAGGTCAAAGTACTCGATTGTAAAAGAATGCTAGAACTATGTGCGAAAACCGTGAGAGGAATTAATTTACAAAAAATTGAATGCTACGCCAGTCGGTAAATCACTAAATTAAGACGAAAACATCCTAGTACCTGGATAAATTATATACGGTCACTTTGTGAGGATCTCTGAATTGGGTCGTTAGTCAAACATAAAGCTCCACATGGCGTGAAAACCAGTATACAAAACTAACTACATGAGTTACCAAAAAATCTTGTTCACAAAGTCCAAACATCTGAAAATTGGCGTACCTTCGGTGAAGAACACATGCGCATAGCGATACTGACTCTGAGACCCTTGAAAATCTTCCATTAGCAGTTTTATAGACTACGAAATAAAGCTTAGCAGAAGTCTTACCTCTTCAGTTGGAGTAATTAAATATATGGCTTCAATTGGCAATACTTCTCTTTTCTTTGAAATATCCTCAACAACTAAAGAAATTATTATATATCTAAGTTAGACTACGTGTAATTCCATTATTCATTATCTCATGCATCTTGCAACACGAAGATACAATTCTAGTGGCCAACCTATCTAATACCAACACCTTCCAGTCTTTAGGTTTTCTTAATGGGACGATTATCTCATCCATAAGTTCTATTTCTTAATCAAATATAAAAAATATGCCTACTTTTTGCGACTGCTTGCTTTAAAGACATGACGGACTGGAGTTAATTGCAAGGCCAAATTGTATGTTCCGTTACAAAACAAAATGAGCGCAATGGCCACAGTACAAACCTAAATGTAAAGTCTACATAGGTGAACTGAATTTTCTGAAAACATCTCTGCATGTCGATGGAAGGATCCATGGGCTGTCAAAAAAATTTCTTTAAAGACGAATCGCAGTAGAGAACAGTCTCTATGGTCATGAGAGAATGATTCAACATTGACAGTTTTACAGCACTCTTAGCTTATGGATAACCAAACAGAAAAAAGAGGGAAGACCTCAAAATCCTAGTAATTTATATGGATCGAAACTAACTGAAAAGCGGGCAGGACAAGAAGAGAACTGATTATGGGTAGAATTGCACTGGATGAAATTAATGAGAATCGAGCACATTTTGCGGACTTTCACACGTTAAGTGGTTTGATGACCAGATACAGAGTGTTAAAGTGCAAGGATATTCACAAAACCACATTGGTTGTAGACTCACCGGAAATTAGACAGACTTCATCACAATTTCTAGACTGTGGAATCATGGCTTACTTGACAGAAAGTTGAGAATTAATGTCGGTCATTATGACCAGCGCAACTGACCCTCAAAATTAGGTTGAAGGTCTTCACAAAAGACCGGGGTGGAGCAAAATTTTAAGTTCAACCCTCGAAAACTGAACGGCAAAGATACAAAATACATATTTAAGACAGCCACGTAGTTCTAGGAAACTTCAAGCAACATCGTCGAGGAAACACCCATGAAAGACCAATAGGACTCTACGAAAGAGGCTCTGCATGACTCCAAGACATACGACCCTCCGTTACCCTATTTAGCGACATTCTGTTATAAGCACAAAAACTGCAGGTCAAACTTTTGTAAAAACTTCATATCCCCCCCCCCGAAGTTTAAGTCATATTTGCTCCTGAGGAAGTTGTTATAAATAGCTCCCTGATGATTCTCCACCATTTCTGCAGTTTTGTATATGTTCCAACCAATCTCCAGTAGCTTATCCTAATTTCGATGGTCGACCTTTTCGATCTCATGCATTTTTACACGCACGCTCAATGTGGTTTGGTTTGCTGAAGCGGGCTGAAAGACTTCCCTTGATCAAATACGAGCTGAAAACCCTGATACCCGTACGCCGAAAAATTAATTAATATTTCGCTATATGCTTATCAATGCCGTCCCTATATTCAATCCACAGATTTAAATCCAGGATAAACTTCCTCCCCAGATTCATCAGTTGGCTAAATGCAACACTGCGGTTATAAATCAATCGGTCATCTTTATGATTACACGGTAGACAGATAGTGAAACGTCCGTCCTCGAACACAAAAGAGATTGCGATCAACGTAACTCCCTTCTTGTTTTCAACAGAATGTGAAGTATCTGGGCTACTACCATAGGGAAACTCCCCGCTATACGTATCACTGATCACAATCTCCAGGTCTGCACTATCACTTATGATAAGACTCGACATATTATTTCTCATTATGGGACTTCACACTGTTCAGCCAAGTGGCGTCTTCGTTGCATGCCGATATTCCTTGCCTCTGTGTTTCTATTCCATGACCTCGTGCGCTTCTGGCAAACTGCGCCCAACAGATAGTCCCGCCTTAAGGTCAGAAATCGTGGGCAACGGCATATGACGCAGACGGGGTTTTCTGACGATTTCATCATGTTCAAGTGCCACTACTTTGCCAAGCTTCATACGAGAAGAAGTAAATTCATTTCGTACCCGTTAACTAGCTTGAGTTGCTAAGGATTCGAAGAGAAATGACACCAGTCCGCAGAGCAATATATCAGAAGAGTCAGCAGGATTCAACACCAAAGTCCCTCAGTGCCCAAATGGCTGGCTAAATGAGTGTCAATCAACGTGACATCATGATCTATTATCTAACTATGCATACACATCAGCAGATGATCCTGGTCCCCACATTCCAGCAGGCAACAGACTTTATATACTTTACGTACAATATGTGCTGCACAAGTAGTATCAATATTAATATTCTGACCCTTTCTGAACAATGGGTGGAATCTTACTATATTGCTAGGACTATTCATATTCGATTTCATTTGTCCTTCTCTCAGACAAGAAAAACACACTTCTTTCTGTTTCGCGAATTACACCCTTTCCAAGGGGAACATTTTAGGAAAACAATGACAATTGATACATCCCTTTTGTTTTGCAGTACTCTGTTAGTCTGTAATCCCTACTCATAAATCTGCCGGCTTCAGTATTGAGATGTAAGAGGCTAGCAAATTCAGTGATCGTTTGGCTTACCTTATCTTCCGTGAGACTCAAAATATAAACATCCTCTTCCTCTGAGAGGCCGGTGATCTTAACCCACTTCTTCTCTAATCCAGTGAGTGGATGTATGGCTGTTATCTCAATAAAAGGAACTTGAAATCAAGCCATTTGTTCAATTTAAAGATATCAACGTCCTTTTATAGGTCATCATGTCCCAAAATTAGGTGAGAAACTTGGGGTCGTCTCTTAGCTCCCGACAATTATCTTTGACAAACACGCTCTGATGAGTCAGTTGAGATGCTGTTACTGGTATTCACGATGTATTCATTTATGGCACTTCTGACTGAACTAGTGCCTCGCCTTTGCAGCCATGCCTGATGATTTTTTATAAGACGTTTTGATAAGACCCGTATAGAACGACCTATGTACCCAGCTCCGCAAGAGCAGGTGAATTGATATATGCACACTGAAGTAGTCGCATGCTGAAGTCTGTCTTTCCCGTTGCTCTGGACTAGTGAACGGCTAGAGAATATCACTCTGAGTTGATGAAGGAAGAGTCTTCTTCAGGGAATTGGAGATTCTCCCTTTAAGGACATCTGCTGGTAGGTCTTCCCTGAACTGCAGATTCAGATAAAGTGTTTTTTTCGCACTGAAGTGCATTCTTCTCTTTTTGGCTTTGGCTTCATGTTCTTCTCAACGACAGGCGGTGGGTTTTAATATTCAACCAGGATGATTTTGAGAAACAGGAGCTCTCCTTGCAAACGGTCATCACTACAAATACTTCTGGTACGGTGGTCTAGCGAGATCGTAATAATACTAATAACTGCAAACATAAAGAAAAAGACGGAGATGCAGATCAACACTTATTACGAACATTGATTATACTCTTATCATATATCAATTGATTTACTTTACGGTTCCCTGTAAGACAAACTACCCTTCTGCAGTATTGTTAACCAAATGCTAAAATTTTTTTGGTTCTGTGTTAATATCCTTTTATAATATGTGTAGACAGGTTACTTTGCAATCTCCAATGTTTACTATATATAAGACTGACATGATAATTTAGTACGCTAAGTCCTGCCAACCGACCTTACCTTCAGTCCATACTACCTACATTGAACCCTAACTATAATGTTCTGCTGAATCTCGTTCCACTATTCACAAAACCTGTTCTTTTTACTCTTTAAGTTTTTAACTTCTTATAAAGTAATCTGTTCGTTAGGACGCATGCATACATGTATAATATGTTCATAAAGATGTACGTGGAGACCTATCGGAAGCACTCATTAAGAAAGCTAGGGAGATGGAATATGAGGTACGAACATATCTGGTACCAAGCTAAATCTAGATTGGTTGACCTAAATAAGATAAGAACTCTAGAGAATAGTTCAGCCATAGCATTACATGCAGTTATGCACAAACATACAATAGGATGAATGGGATAAGATGACAGTTTTAAAATCTAATGTCACAGGGTATAGGGAGAGATTGATAACAGAAGCTTTGTTTAACGAATCAACTGCAAACACGTGTAATAGAAATGATTCAACACCTGTACCAGATATATGGAAAAATTCTACTACCCCAACGACGACAAATAGGAGAAGACAAGGGAAACTATAAAACTAAAACTTCAAAGTCGTGTGATTACAACTGATATGATTATGAACAATAAATTTTGTTCGAAACGTCATCCAGCAAATGATAATACTGTTTCACTGTGTGATACATCTAATAAACAAACTATTATGAAATTTCCAAGCAATATATTTGCGGTAGCCATAATAATCATAGTCTCAGAGCCTAGCATCAAAAAGGAGGGAGGGTGGTGCTAGCTGATCAGTAGATATGGTGGTGGTCACTAAGGTGAATCGGCCCATTCTGCGGAACAGCAATACGCAATTTGAAGGCTCGAGATTTTCATGATTTTTATGAGGGCTTAGATCTTAATCTTGAAAAAGATAATAATGAACGCCTTGACAGATCACGCTTCTGCCTTTTAAAGAGATACCATTCGCTCAGCCTATTGTCGAGATGCGACCATACGGGCTCTGCACAGATTTGTGGGGCATCTTATAAATTAACTTGCTGTCGCTTGTCGGATCTTTGAATACCACTTCACAATGTCTCCTCTCATTCATTTTCTAATAACCTCTTCACTCGATCCTCATTACATTCCATTAAACCTATTATATTATAGCTCTATATGAATTCGATTCGACTCATACCATTCCTATTCTCTGTAGGGTACAGTTGTGCGCTAAATGCACAAAAAGGTATAAGATAACAAACGGGCATGAGGATAAATGTATTAAAACCAAAAGTGGACATCATGATAGTAAGATCAATATGCGTAGCATTATACATTGCAAATGAACCTTGTCAACCTAGGGATTTTCCTTTATTAATGCATTTATTAACGATACTTGCACTTACTTATTTTATTACACTTTAATGATTCACCTTAGCACTTTTACTTTTCTAAAACAGCTTTCAATCCCCTGTAAACGTTGTACTTACCCAATATTGGTTGGCTATCGTATGCCTACAAACACGGGTTGAAAACGAAACGAAGTCGATTTTCCTGCGCAACCTGGAGGACAAATGCACAATCCAATACCTTCACGGCCTGCGCAGACAATGAGTGTATTTACATATATGTATGAAATATTTATCCGTTTAAACATTATTAACTTGTAGACAATCTACGATTTGATATTATATCATACTTGATCGTGCCTGTAAAAATGGCATGCATTTTCATGTAAATTTATGTTTATATGAAAATATACACTATTATTATATTATTAAGGGACCAGCCTTGAAAAACACTG